CTAAATCAGAAAGAGGGTCTAATTAAGTAAGTTTATTATATATCTATAAAAGGCTAAGTTGACTCTTCCATGTGCAATACATATAAAGCTCTCACTGGCACCACTCACACACGTTTTGATCTGCCGTTGTAAATCATGAATTTGACACTTCTATTATAGAGAAAGAGCAAATAGCGGTATTAAAATATTTCTTCTAATTAATTTTATTACAATGTGCACAAATTCGTGCACCGGGCCATTAGTCTATATACAGTATATATAAAAGGCTAAGCAACCAGCTTAACATAACATTAACCCTTTCAAAGTGGCCAGTAGGTATGATGCACACTGACCACCAGGGGGCAGTGGCGCTTTTCAGGTGATGCACCCTGGGACCAGAGAGGAGGGAGTCCAATTCCTTGCTGGGCCCCGAAATTCCACCTTTGACCATGGGTTATGTTGTTGTTTGGGCACTGTCAGCCCCGAATCTGGTTTACTACTGAGCTGCTGTGACTTAGCATCGGTGGTTCTCAGGTGACGCACCCCAGAACCAGAGAGGAGGGAGCCCAAATCCTCATGGGGTTGCACGATTCCACCTTTGGCCATGGATTATGTTGTTGCTGGGGCACAGTTGGTCCTGAATCTGATTTACTGCACACTTGCATTTGAGTTCCAAACTCTGTATGACAGCAACTTTGCAGAGTGCTCTCTCACACCCTAGGATCCCTCTGGGGATGTAGGAGAGCCAGTTTCGGCTGATCCCGAGGGCCAGGCTGAGGCACCCCACCTGCCAGAGGGATCCCGCTTACTCCGCAGATGACCTTCGAGCCATGGTGTGCCCCAGGTGTGGCTGCCTGGGGAGGGACTGCTGTAGGTTGGCTTCAGGGCATGTCTGGCTTGTCTCGCCCAGTCCTGCCCTGCCAGCCACCTTCTAATTAATTTCCTTTCAATGTGCATGAATCCATGCAGTGGGCCACTAGTTAGATTATAAAATTTTATGTACTGTGTGTATATTTACAACTATGGGGGGGAGGGGAGAGAAACACTTGGTAGGAAACATATCAAAGTAATAGTGATTTAGCTATAGATTTTTCATTTAAAATAATAATAAATATCTCATTATTAAAAAGAACTCTAGGTAGTTAAAATATTGGGCTCATAGTTACTATTATAACAATTATAATTACGTGAGGATAATATTAAACTTCAATAGTTATTTTTTCCCAAATTGAGTTATAGGGTTTCTTACTATTCACTAAGAGTAAAAATTTTTTTTTGCTGTTTTCTAATTTATTTTTATTTTATTAAAACATTTCTATTGATTTTAGAAAGGAAGGAAGAGGGAGAGAGAGATTCAGATATCAGTGATGAGAGAGAATCATTCATTGGCTGCCTCCTGCACACCCCCTACTGGGATTGAGCCTGCAACCCAGGCATGTGCATGGAAAAGAACCTGGGACTCTTCAGTCCATAGGCCGACACTATCCATTGAGCCAAACCAGGTAGGGCTATTTTCCTTCTTAAAAATATCATTTTAGGACTTTCTTTTCAAACTATAAATACATCATCTTCTTGTTGACATAAATCCCAGTACCACAGGAGTGTACAAATAAAAAGCCAACAGTTTCCCTCCAAAAACAGTTTTCTCATGTACTTGCCTAAAATAATTGTTAGCAGTTTGGCAGGTATCCTTCTTAGCCTTTCTGTCATGTAGCTTACAAAAACATAACAAAATTGGACCCAACTGAGTAAAAAACTCAGATACCTTTAGGATGCGCTGGCAAATAATGTAAAATAAAGATTTTCTCACTGCGTCTTTGGCTAACTGGAAAGGGATTTTACGTTCAAAGCCTTCATATTCAAGAGTAGGTTAGAGCTCTGGCCCATGTGTGGTTCAGTTGGTTGAGCATCCAGTGCACAGGAGGTTGCTGGTTCAATTCCCAATCAAGAACACAGGCCAGGGTTGTGGCTTGATCCTTGTTGGGGTGCATGCAGGAGACAGCCATTGATGTGCTCTCACAAAGATGCTTCTCTCTCTCTTTTGTCTCTCTCTTTATCAATATAAAACTAATACAAAAATAGAGCCCTGCTGGTCAGAATATCACTGTTCTTTTATTATTCTTTGTCCACTCTGCTCTTCCCAAACAAATACAGAATGACCATATGTCATAGATTTATTTAACTCACTATTAGGGAAACAGCAGGATGGTAAAGCTGATTCCAAAAGCATTTGAGGAATTGAGTGTATGTTGACACTAAAGAAAGAACATTTAAATAGCTCCATTAGGTACAAAATTGGTTCATGTCCTACAGGGTAGTAAAACCTTTGGATTCTGTTGGACAGAAATCTCTACTGAATAAAAATTTACAAATTTACCTTAACCTAATAGAATTTGGTTCCTAATCTATAGAACCAGATCAGACAATCTATAATAATAAAAGCATAATATGCTAAATAGACCGGATGGCCGAATGACCTTCCAGACAACTTTCCAGATGCAGCTCCAAGCCCCTTGCATGAATTTCATGCATTCAGCCTCTAGTGGTACTATAATAAAATATCTTTAGGAGGACCTATTAAAAATGTTTCATTACATATTTGAAGGATTTATAGTTCTTGATTCACCTTATTCTCCATTTTGAGTAAGTTTTCTTTCCTCCCTCCCTCCCTCCCTCCCTCCCTCCCTCCCTCTCTCTCTCTCTCTCTCTCTCTCTCTCTCTCTCTCTCTCTCTCTCTCTCTCTCCCCCCTCACCTAAGGAGGAGGAGAGACAGAGAAATATCGATGTGAGAGAGACACATAGATTGGTTGCAGGATTGAGCCTGCAACCAAGGTACTTGCCCTTGACCGGAATCAAACCAGGGACCCTTCAATCCTCTGGCCAATGCTCCATCCACTGAACCAAACCAGCTAGGTCTGGTTAATTTTTCTTAACTGTGAGAAAGACCTGTTGTGTTGTATAAGGCAAGAGCAGTAAGGTAGGGACCAGGTTTTGGAAGAGCTTGCTATTTTAAACTAAGAAATTTAAACTTACTTTCAACAAATGTTTATTACTATTTTTAAAATTCTTATTGTTGAAAGTTTTACATGTCTCCTTTTTCTTCCATTGACCTCTCCTAGCCTGCTCCCACTTTCAAGCACAGGCTCTGACCTCCCTATTGTCTGTGTCCATTGGTTATGCATATATGCATGCATACAAGTCTTTTGGTTGATCAACATGTTTATTGAACACATGTTATATGCCAGACAATGGATTTACTATAATCCTGTGTGTGTGTGTGTGTGGCTGTGCTGTGCTGCTCCTCGCATCCTCCTAGGAGGCTAACTAGTGGTTCTCAAGGGGTTGTATTATTAGGCAGTTGTCTGCGAAGCTGCTTTTCTCAAAATACACGTTCTTTCTGCCTCAGCAGAACATGTGTTTTGAAAAATCTTCCCAGGTGATGTTTATATCCCTTCCCTTTTGAAAATCATTGTTATATTTATTGGGCTTTTTGGAAAAAAAGTTGAATAAACAAGTAAAATTGCAATTAATATTTTAAAAATATTCATAACCCTGTTATCCTTCCCCACTCCATAATACTTAAAGTAAAATAATTAATGTTCTGATTACACTCTCAGTAAGAATTATATGCAGTTGTCATATTTAGAGTTATATTTTATGTAACTGAGACATTGATTTGGGAAGAATTGGGTTTAGTGCTCCTAATTGTATCCTTAAGTTATGTCTTTACTAAATAAACTGAAAATTGTCATTTATAATAGTACTAGTGGCCTGAAATTCATGCACATTAAATGGGGATTAATTAAAGGAAGTATTTTAATATTGGTATTTGCCCCCCCCCCTTTTTTTTTTTTAAATAAAAGAAGTGTCAGAGATGAAAGAAACTAAGTAAAATGTATATGAAAATCTTCTGTCAGAGTCTGGGGGAAACCACGGGTTCCAGAGTCAAGTCCCCACCCACCCAAGTGCACCTAAAAATTGCACAAGACCCAGATCCGGCTGGCCCCTCCCCCATTGGGTGAGATCCAGACCTGGCCAGTCCCACCCTTGTCAAGCCCCACCGGGCAGGAGGTGCAGGCAGCCTCAGGTCCCCTGGCCCGGCACTGGGGCGGGGTGGCGAGGCCTGAAGTCACTGCCAACCCCTGCCAGATGGGGGGTGCAGCCTGGCACTGGGGTGGGAGGAGCAGCCTGAGGTTCCATGGCCAAGAACCAGGGCAGGACCACTTTGAGGTGTGGGGGCATGGCCTCAGGTCCCCCTGCCTGGCACCAGGGGAGGGTGCAGCCTGAGGTCCCCTGTCAAGCCCTGCTGGGCAGGGGGTGCAGCCTCAGGTCCCCTGGCCTGGTGCCAAGGTGGGGGCATGACCTGAGGTCGCCCAGTCTGGCACCAGGGCGGGGTCGTGGCCTGAGGCCCCCCATTAAGCCCCATGGAGGTTGTGGGGGTGCAGCCTCAGGTCCCGGCTGATTGCTCCTTAAGGCTTGTTATGGAAACCCTGGCTGATTGCTCCTTAAGGCTTGTTATGGAAACCCTGCCTCCGCTGTGGGCACAGCCATCTTTGGGGGGAGTGATGGTCAATTTGCATATTCCCTCTTTATTATGTAGGATGTGATCTACATGGCAAAGACGTGATTACACATTAGACTTAAAATGCTTTTAATGAAAGATAAATTTAAAATTTTAAATATGCTACGAGAAAATAGACTTACCAATTTTGTCAGATACTGGTAAAAGGAATAAGTAATAAAAGAAAAAAGTAAATATGTATTTAACTAGTAATTAAACTGTTTGAATCAACAATTAAAATGAGCAGCTGCTGAGTATGTGCATTTACATTCTTCTCAGTAGAACTAATTAGGCTGTCTCTTCGTGTCAGTGCTCTCACAGGGCAGGGATCTGTGAGCACAGTACACCTACGCTGACATGGAATTCACAACTGAATCATAGGGTATGACATTACAGATTAGGGGAGAAATTGAAAATTAACATGTACAATTGGTATATTGTGTATTTTTCTTTTTATTAGTGTGCCGATCCAACAAAAGCCCCTGGGTCTGTTTGACTTGTTCAAGTGTCCACTGTGGAAGGTAGGTGACATACTTATTGCTTGGCTTCCCTACTTGCATTTTTCAGTTTGCCTTTAAGCTTCATGTTAATGGTTTGATTTGGGTTTATTTATCACCATTGCTTAATCATAATGTGTAATTCTCTGTAGAGTTTATCTGTCCCCATAGAATCAGTTGGGTTCTTTCCCCCCCAGTGGTACAACTAAGGAAAATCTAGGGGAGAAACCCTTTATATTGATACTTAGAATTCATTTGATGATCAAGATAACCTAAACCTAGTAATATTTGATTGAAAAGATGATATATGGGAACTTTGAAATCTCTCTATATAATAGCCTAATATGTAAATTGTCCCCTGGGAGTTCAACTGGGAGACTGATCGCTTGCTATGACATATTTGACCACCAGGGGGCAGCACAGAAAGAAGGCAGGTCCAGGCCAGCAATTGGCAGCAAGGGAAGGGAGGCCCCAGCTGGCAGCCAAAAGGCCCTGATCCACCCTGATCGCTGGCCAGGCCTAGGGACCCTACCCATGCACTAATTTTGTGCACCGATCCTCTAGTATTTAAATAAAAGTTTACCTCATGGTTGTTTTTAAAACTTTTATTAGGGTGACCAGTTTCAGCAATCATCAGCACATGGCCGAGCTTGTTTCACCTATTACCTACCCCATCTCCACCTAATTTACTGATTTTTGATTCAAATCCCAGGTATTACATCATTCTTCTGAAGAAGAAGAAAAAAGAAAGAAAAAGTAACACTAAAATATTACAGCAAAAGGAATTCCCTTGATAATGTTCTCACTGTGGAGTTCATAGTTAATTTCTAAGATATGTCAAATGTTTCATTGTTATATTAAGATACTTTTGTTTTCCAGGGACCTAATTCCCCATCCCCAACCCCATCCTGGTTCAAGCCTGAGTTTCCTCCCAGTTCTTGGTTTCAAAATGATGTTACTGAAGTAACTCTTCTTTTGACACAAACTCAAATATCAACCTTTGTGTTCTTTTAGCCTGGCAGTAGCACATTTATATCTATTGTTCTTGTAGCTTAAAAAAATCCACTTTGAATTTGCTTCAAAGTTAAAAGTTTAGCAGCAGGGGATGGGAAATTATACTAAGTCACACAGACTGAAATCTATATCATATTTATTAGGACTGCTTCCCCATTGTTATTTTAAAACCCTCATTGCATGAAGAGAGCATCTTTATTCAGTTAACTTTTGATTTTTTACATTTTGAGCCCTGAAATTTAATATTTTTTTCCATGTACACTTAAGAGTACCTTTGGAAAATGTTAACTGCATATTTCTTAATTTTGGCTGTTGTGGTTTTGAAATCTCTAGGATTTGGGGAACCTGAAAATACTTTGTACAGATAACACTTTTTTAAAACAGAAGAAATGTACAAGCACTTAAATTCTGCACTTGAAGAGACAGATTCCTCTCCTAGATTTTGAGAGGTGAGAATTAATAATGCAATAAAATTTATATAGTTCTGTTCTCCAGTTGTCTCATAGTGCTCTACAACCTAAATCTTGAAGGTCATATGCCAACAAAAAGACCAAACTAAAAAATTGGAGATACTAGTGTTATTAATAGCAAGCAATAAACAATTCTTTAAGCAGGTTTTGAGAAAATAAATTGAAAATTTCCTAGACTATGCAGGTAGTCTGTTTCCATTTGCACAGAATCTTAAATTTAAACATTTTATATAGTTTTAGAGGAATATGATTAAGTAGATTAAACAAGTGAGAGTAGTCTGCATTTGGATTTTCATTTTACATAGCTGATTGGTTAATTCCCTTTTATTATGTGTTGATTGACATAGATTCTGATTTTAGTAATTTTAGACCACTTATCTGTAGGGAAGTCTAAAATTGAATATTTTTTCAACTAGAAAACATAGTTTATCAGCATATTTGAGTTATATATTTATTGGTCTTCATAATACCATCCCATTTAAGTTATCTAAAAACTTTTTTGTGCTCATTGTTAGAAATGTGTGACATATATTGACATTTTCCTTTTTAGACCAAATTGCCTAGTTAAAATCTAAAACTAGTTGAGGGAAATACTTATTTTTATATTAGCCATTTTTTATATAAAACTGTTAACATTTGATTGATGTATTTACATATTAGCCAAAACATTGCCAATCTTAATATTGGCAGTAATACACTTACTACTTTATTACTGACATTTACACTAATCATTTAAACATACTATATAATAAAAGCCTAATACGTTAAGTGTCTGGTCAACCAGTCAGCTATTCAACCCATCAAAACGTAATATGCCAATGATATGCCAAGGCCACTCAGCCTCTCGCTATCACATGCACTGACCACAAGGGAGCAGATGCTCTGACCAGTAGATTAACTTGCTGCTGGGGTCCAGCTCATCAGGACTGAATAAGATAGGCTAGACAGGCCCTGGAGCCCTCCTGTGGTTCTTCCCTGGCTGGCCAACCTCCTGAGTCCCTCTGCAATCTCAATCATGCACCAGTGGGTGCATCTTTGTATATATGCTGTAAAGCACAAGTTGATTGTCATATTTGATTGCAGAAAAAGGAGCATTCAATTAAGTATTCAATTTAATAAATAAATGATTGAATGCTCTTATAAGGAAGAATTCTTTCTTACTCTAGTTTGTTTACCATCTAATTTTATCATCATCTCCTACTACTTTAACTTCCAAAGCAATATTTAGATTAAAATAATTTTTCATTTGGTTTTTGTAAGGTATGTGAACGGCCATGCAAAGAAGCATTATGAAGATGCACAAGTACCCTTAACCAACCATAAGAAATCAGAAAAACAAGATAAAGCTCAGCACACAGTGTGTATGGATTGTAGTAGCTACAGTACATACTGGTAAGTATTAATATTTTCCTAGAAGTGATATTTCTTCCTATGAGTGTGCAAGTGTTTTTTCATTTCCTCGCTCCCCTTCCTCACCAATCTCTAAGCCAGTTGCTACTGCTAACACCTCCTTTTAGTTCTTTTAAGATTTACTCATGGGCCTGGAGCCATCAGGAATGCCTATCCTATTCACTTAGCTTTTACTTTGCATTGTTCCTTTCAACTTCCTGGCCCCCTCTTTTTACCCACCTTATGTTCCTTGTCTATCCCAATAATCTTTAGGAAAATGAAAAATATCTATTTCTTTGTTGTTCATTACAATTCCTTTTTTTTTTTAATTGAAGAATATGGTACAAACCCATGTTTCTATGGTGCAAGTTAATATTTTGTTACATAATCCCTAAAAATTTAATTTCTTTGTATAAAAAACTACTGTGACAATGTCCCCTCTTCCAGAATAGCTCCATTCTCCTACTTCTCTGCAGATGATTGTCAGAAATTTTATGTGTAGCTATTTTTTTTTTAAATATCAAATTTTTTAGGAGGAGATTTTCATATAAATGACAATAAAGTTAAGTATCTCTTTTTAGAACTACTTAGATCTAGGTTATTTAGATTACAGTGATGTTTAACAATCCATATCCTTAGAAAGTCAATGTATTTTACAATTTTAACTTTGGTGTGAAGCAAATTTATTTCCTTGACTAGAAAATTATGATGAACAGTTGTTTTAATCAGTTTACTTAATTCAAAAGGCTTTTGACACTGAAGTGGGAAAGGCCAGTTAAAGGCTTTCTTTGAAAGTTTTTTTTCCATAGTATAATTTACAAAGTAGGGAATAAATTTAAAATGCATTCATTAAATAATTGCTCAACCAGAATACTTCAAAGCCCTACTGCCTAATGGTACTATCAAAAGTACAGCTGAAAACAAACTTGAGAATAGCAGTGAATTACATGGCTTCTATGTTCTCGGGTGAGATCTGAGGAGGGTAGTAATGAAGGGGGGGGAAAGGAGAAACTCATGAAAACTATTTGCAAATATTCTCCCTACTTCCCTTTCTTCTATTTCTTCCTTCCTTGATTTGATTGGAAGAAGAATGGGAATTGCTGAATGTTGCCTATAGTGGGGATATTCATAATGATGATACTGTTGACCAGAGGAAAGTTCTACCTGAACAAGACAAGGGAATAACAATGGAAGTTATCATGGGTGAGAGGATGGGGAGCATTCCATCACTGTCCCCTTATCATGCAATGAAAGTTTCAGAAGGGGAAACCAGTATGATTTGTCAGAATATCTGGAATTATTTAAGCAATTAGGCTATAAACCAAGCTGCTCTTTTGGGGGCAGACCTGGGAATATGACTTTAAAAACTCATGTCTCATCCTGATTGGTGTGACTCAGTTAATTGGAGCATTGTCCCATACACAGGGTTGGATTCCCCATTAGGGCACATACTTAGATTGCGGGTTTGATCCCATGGTCGGACTGGTCAGGGTGGAAGGTTTTTGTGTGTGTGTGTGTTTTTCCTATATAGCCCTTGATTGTCATATGAAGTGGTAGTAGGCTGGGTGGAAATTTAAACTCCAAATATGTTCAATTTACATTTTCTACTGAAGTTGTGTGCTAATCCTTTCTACATCATCTTTAGTTGATAGTTGTATTGTAGAAAGGTGTTCATCAAAAGGAGAAAAAAAAGATCAGTTGGCTTCTTAAGTCTTAAATTTTGACAAGCTTAACATTATTAAATTGTGATTGTTGAATATAACATTTTAAAGTTCAGTCATTCAGATCACTAATATATCAGTGATCCTTTGTATGGAAGATGTCCAGCCATGGGAGAAAGAGAAGCTAGAAGTAGATGAACATTTCAGTAAAGATGAAAATCTTCCTAAGCTTTTCATAGAAAGGCTAGTGTTCAGTTTATTGTTATTTGCTCTTGTAAAACTTTCTACGAAAGTTAAGTATTAGCCAAGCTATTGAAGGTGTTTTCTTTATTTTCCCCTCCCTTTTTCTCAGGAAACTTACATACTAGAATTACGTAGCTACCTAATTGATAGAATTATGCATTTCGGAAGGGTTGTAAAACAGAAAATAAGATCATTCTTGAGATATCTATCTCACATTCATTATTGTTGGTCATGTCAACCTACATGTTCCAGATATTAAAACATTCATTCATCTTGATTTTTAATTAGCAACGTGATTAACTGCTTATGGAAAAGTTTCCAAATACAGTTAAATCTCTGTGTGCGGTGGGCTTTCTTGCTGTTGGTAAAATTATAAGGAAATCGTAATCTGAGGAAATTTTAAGAATTATCTTAGAATATCTTAATGAAATGGAATTACAATTATAGATCTTTTTAAAAATATAGGTTATATACTTTACTGTCTTTATACTGTATATTGCAATTTGGAGGAATACCTTTATTAAATAAATTTGAATTGAATTTGTTTTATATTGGGATAATGTCCTAAAAGTACCTGTCGTTTTATGACTGAATTGTAATTAAGTGGCAGTTCTTAAACCTTGGGGAATATATACCATACAGAGACTTCTTGGCTAGTTGCCAGTCTTTTGTGTGAAGTGATACAGAGCTGCATGTGTGCGACACCCAGAGCTTCTGAAATTCAGGAAGGGAGCTGCAGCTGGGCGCATTACCATTTCATTTGTGGGTTTTAGAACAAAATGCCAGGGATTCATCCTGTATTATGATTGCACTGAAGGCCTAAAAGGATTCTGTGATAGCTGTACATTGATGAAGCTGGAGTTTAAATGAACATTTTCCCCACACCTCACTATGATTAGGAAACAAACAAAATTTCTTTTTTCTCTATGGGGTATGTGTATATGTATTATTTCTCGGGGCATTTTGGTAATTCAATTCCTGTTTGTAAGTTTTCATTGTACATAAATTTCTTGTGGTTAGACAGAATGATTTGGTTTAGAGGTAAAATATTGATATATTAGGTGTAACCTATTTGATTATTAATTACTATGCTTGTAGTCAAAATATTTTGACTATAGCTAATGGTAAAATTTCTTTTCCATCTGCTCTATGCTCTAAAGAAGTGAAACATGCTCTGAGGAATACAATTTCTCTATCCTTTCCTTTCCAAGATTCCCTGCCCTGTCCTATTTTTACATACCCTTTATGACATTGTCACTGAACTGACACCATTCCCGCCTTCCAGCTCCAACTGTAACTGGATGTAACTTCTCCTAACCTCATAGAGCTTGGGATACTTGTAATTTCCTACTATGTGTTAGATATTTGAAAATGTCGTTGGGGACTGCAGGAACCATATGCCAAATTTTTGTATCTTCCACAGTACTCAGTGTCTGGTACACAAAAGGCAGTATATATTGGAAAGATTGAATTTTGTTATTATCTCCCCAGAATGGGCAGGTTTATACCAAATCTGGAATACTGTGCCCTCAGATCATCTTGGGCCACAGAACGCTATTCCTGAAGAAGACCTAAATAAATTGGGCATATGTGAGCCATTTCATTTACCTCTCAAGAGGGAGACCCTTGCAGAACAGCTCCCTTCATTTCTGATATAAAATAGGGCGTCTGGAAGGGGTACATATTAACCAAATAGAACAACAAAAAATGGGTCACTGTTTGAAAAGATTGAAAGAAATACCAAAAAGAAAATTTTGATTTGACACAAACCCACCGCTTTGATAGATCATGTTAACTGAGCTAGAGGTAAGTGAAGCTTTCAATAGCAGTGAGCATCTTACCAAGATTTTCACACAGGGGCTCATGTTCACTTCTATTATTTAAGTAATATTTTCTTTCTTCCTACCCCCAACTTCTCTCCTTTAGTCAATACAAATGGAACTGTATGTGGTGTGAATTATTTTATCAAACAGGAGCAGATTAAAATTAGAACTTTAGGCCCATTCCCTGCTCCCCTGGACACTTTTAGGTTGGTCTTGGCCCTTTGGAAGACCAGGAAGTTGATAAATCGCGAGGCCAGCTGCTGGAAGACGGCGGCTCGGGTGGGACAGTCGCCAGGGATGGCGGAGCGTGAGGATGAAGCGGGCGTCAGGGCTGCTCTCCTGGACGCTGAGCAGGGTCCTGTGGCTCTCGGGCCTCTTTGACCGGCAGCCCCGGATCATGGAAGAGAAAGCGCTAGAGGTTTATGATTTGATTCAAACTATCCGGGACCCAGAGAAGCCCAATACTTTGGAAGAACCAGAAGTGGTAACGGAAAGTTGTGTGGAGGTTTAGAAAGTAAATGGACTATTTGGTTATTATCAGGTTCACGCCAACAGTACCTCATTGCTCTCTGGCACCTTCCTGGGCTGTCCTGAAGAGTAAAACTTCAGCGGTGTTTACCATTTAAACGTAAGGTCCCTTTAGGCGATGGCGCCTTCTCTGGGTCAGACTACCGGCGGCGACCACAGGAGCATGGAGGACACGGACCTGGACCTGTTTATGGAATGTGAGGAGGGGGAGCTGGAGCCATAGCAGAAAATCAGTGATGTCATTGAGGAATCTGAAGTTGAAGATTATAATTCAGTGGATGAAACTACTACAGTTTCTGAGAGCCAGGAGCCAGTCTCAGCTCCAGTGCCCATCGCTCTCTACGCTTCTGTTGTTAAGCACGGCAGCGGGGCACAGAACAGCGACAGTGCAAAGAGGACTCTTGTCAGACTAATTGTCGAGAACAATCCCCAAATAAAGCGTTGTCGTCGATATAATATGCCTGATGACCAAGAATTGCCACCATATGTTTCTCCATCCGAAAGAAGGCGAATTCGTCTACAGAATATGACTGAAGAACAGCAATTGGCACACGTGAAAGAAGACAGTGGTGTCAACAGAATGTGTCTGAAAAACGACGTTTGGTACAATGTACCTCTGAAGCTGAAAGAAACCAGTCATCAACAAGTACTACCACTACTGGTAGAAACTGCCTTCATAGCGAAAATGAGGTAAATGAGGATACAGTTACCGAACACAGTTGTGGTGGAACGTAACACATGTGGTGTT